AAAAACCCTCTAAAAAAAAAAAAAAAAAAGTGTTGGAGGACCAGCACATGGCATAATGGCTGCATCACTGGACTCCCACATAGTCGACTGTGGTTCGATTCCTGGACCCGCTGGCTTAAAACTCATGCTGGGTGAGTGTGCATGTGTACCCAAAATCCTGTGAGGAGAATGGAGAAGGGATTGTGGCATGACCATCCTCCTGGGGCGTGATTTCTCATTTTCTGTCTCTCTGTCTCTCTCTGTGTCTCTCCAGCAAGTGCACACTACAACCCTATAGTGAAAACCTCTCTTAAAAAAAAAACCTCCAAAAAACAAAAAAACTTGTGTTGGTTTGGCCTGATTAAAAATGTCAGCTCATTTAGTGAAAAACACATGTTTTCCTGAAGAGAGGTAGGTGGAACTTTTTCTTTTTCTTTCTTTGTTTCTACCACAGACATATTTAAAATGCCACAAAGAAGTTACTATAGAAACTGCTCCCAAGCTTGCAAGATAAAAGGTAAAAATGGAACACTTTGTTGACATGCAAATGGCTAGTCTCTGGAGATCACTTTTTAACTAATTCTCTGGGTTTAGTTATTTCTGAGTCCTTTAAGGGCTCTCCTCAATCTAGGGTAGACAGGCGGTGTTTTTTGGTGTTAAATTCTAGATCACTCCAGTTGACTGTGAAAATGCCACAGGGTGACAGCTCTGGAGAATGTCTAGGTATGTTCCAACTTAGTTTTGGGATCAGCAAAGTAGACATTGTACTTTCTGGGTAACTTTGGTGAGGCTCACTGTGCACTGCTGTGAACAAACAAATAGGAGAAGGTGGTTCTTTTTTGAGCCGGACCCATTCTGAAGGTGTACTCTGGACTCATCTGTTTGAAAGTTAACTTGCTCAGCTCTTAGAAAAAGCAGTTTCTTTTTCTTATCTCATCTGGCCATATTCCAACTTTTAAATCTCAGGCTGGAGAGTGCTTTCAGTATAAAACACAAACGTCTCATTTGAAAGTCCCATTTACCTGCCCACTGATACTAGTCCACCTGCCTCTCCCACCCACCTCTCCAACTCACTTTGTGGTAGCACTCCTCTTTTGACAAAACTCTCAGATAACTTTGTCTTGGTTTCTGTTCTTTGTACTTTGCCGCCTTGCAATTCCTTCAACTTCCTTCTCTAATGTTTTTTTAAAATTATTTATTATTATTTTTAATGTTACTATGGGGCATGTGATTCACCAGGGAGAGACAGAGAGAAAGAAAGCAAAAAAGCAAGCCAACAGGTCCAGGACTAGAACCACCATGGGAGAGTCTAGTGAGTTAACTATCACGAAAACTGCTGCCCCCCCACCCCAGGTTTTAATCCCAAAAGTTTACTAAAACTCCTCTAAAGCTGTTTCCTGTTACTAAGAGGATGCATTTGAAGAAGTAGCTTGACTTGAAGGATTAGAAATCAGTTCTTTTTTTTTTTTTATTTAATTGTTTGCCATAGGGTGTGTATACTCACCTGAAAGAGAAACAGAGACAGAAGGAATGGGGGTACCCACACACATGCCCCATGTGTTTTTTTCAAGCTGCTGGGTCTGAGGTTTGAACCATAGAGTTGGCCATGTGGCATCCAGCACCTTAACTATCACACCACCTGCTGGCGCTGGTTCTGGGTTCTTGATGACTAACAACGATTAATTTCACTTCTCTGTGAATAGAAACCTTCATCTGTTCCCTCCATTAGGAATTCTTTTCTGACAGAGTTTTCCTCATGGCCAGCTCTTTCTTTGTTTTCCTAGAAGGTCCATGCTCTTCACTGAAGAAAGACAAAGAGACAGAGAAAAAGAAAGTGAGAAAGGACCCCCCCCCCCATGGGAAATAGTTACATTACAGTTCCTTCTTCACTTCTCTCGGGATTTTGGGCATGCACACAAATGTGCCCAACATGTTTTCAAGCCACCTGGTCCATGACTTGAACAGCACAATTGGTCATGTGGGATCTAGCCATCTTACTACCAGGTGGCCTAGGCCAGCTCCTTTTTATTATTCAAGATTCAATTTAAAAACAGTGTTCTCAGGGAGGCCCTAACTATTCCTTAATGTTATTTTCTTCTAACATCATTCTTCATAACACTATCTTATTTTTTTCAAGCACTTATTTTAAATGTTTTCTTGATTATTATCTGTTTTGGCCAAGATTATTAAACTCCAAAGCTGGGCTTTCAGCTATATTCTCCACTTCTGGCACATAGAAGATGTTCAGTAAATAACTGCAGAATGAAAAGAACTGTGAATGAAAAATTTGTAATATGTATTTATTTATATTATTATTATTATTGTTAATAAATTGCTATAGGGTCCATGTGCTCACCAGAGAGAGACTAAGAGACAGAGAGAGAGGGAAAGTGTGAAAGCAAGCCACCAGGTCTAGGACTCGAACTGCAGTCAGCCATGTGAGAGACAAGTGCCTTAACCATCATGCCACTTGTTCATCCCAAGAACTGTGAATTTTAAATAGTTGGACCAAAAAAAATTTAAGGTTGCTTGATGCTTTAACATGAGCACTGACAAAAATAAATAAGCAGAAAATGACAACTAGTACAACAAAACACTGAAAACAGTGTACTACTTAATGTTTAAGAACCTAAACCTGTCAAGTTCTTGGGCCTATCATATGTGAAATATGTGTATGTGTGCTATTAAATAAAAATATAGGGGGGCGGCCATTGTATTGGACTAAGCTCCTGCACAGGCCCTAACTGACCAGAGTAATATAAAATGGAGTCACCCATGCTAAAGGCCCATGTCACCAAACCAAAACAGTTGCTATCTGATTTCCTGAGAAATCAGGAAAGAGAGATACCGGCCAGTTTTCCAAACAAGCCAGTTTCAACTGGCATAATAATGAAGTCCTCTTTGTTTTACTCCTACACAAAAAGAGTAATCTAACACTTCCTGATATTAACTAAGTCAATTGTTTTCTTATAGTTCTGTCTCCCTGTTCCCACACCACAAGAAAAACTACTTTGAAATGACCAGTTCATTTTATTTCTGCTTTCTTCAGCCTTTCTCTGTCGGTAAAACCAATTTCTTCTGCCCAACTCTTTAGAAAACTTCTATTTTATGGAATAAAAGATGGCCAATTCCTGAATCACAATTAAAGCTAATTAAGACTTTTAAACAGAGGGCCAGCTGGTGACATCTCTGTGATGCTGAACTCACTTGGGAAGGTAGTAGGTCCCTGTCTTGAGGCATCTGTGCACACGTGGCTCACACACATGCCTAGCTGGGGCCTGGGGTGAATCTTAGAGAGAAGGCCCTGTTGGGTGCCTGTAGCTCTTTAAAATAAATAAACTTAAAACAAAATAAAACTTTTAAATAAATTGTTATAATTTTGTCACTTGACAATGTATATACAATGTTGTCGTTCTAATAGTTTCCCATGGAAAGTGAGCTGATTTTCTGAGGCTTATAATTAAACATCTGAAAAGGATAGCAAGTAACTGTCCCAATAGAAAACCTCCGTATCATGGAAAAGGGTTGAAACACAATCTCTTCAATTTACAGAGTTAGAAAATAAGGTCCAGAGATGCAAGTATATTTGGACGTTTGGAAACAAGTACAGTAATATGTCTATCGATGAGGAATGCATAAGCCAATCACACTTCCGTAAGATCATTATTATTAACGTATCGAACGTTACATTTGAAAAGAATGAGGGTGACTAGATTCTAGTGGCTGTGAAACTTTAGCGTAACGATCTACAAAGGGCTCGGTAAAGCGCAGATCACCGGGCCCCACCCCTACACTGTCTGGTCCAGCGGTCTGGTGCGGGGACGAGGAGGGTTTGGGAGAGACCATGCCAACCCAGCTCACCAGCTTCCGCAAAGCCACCGATTCCGCTTGGCACGCGAGGAAAACTACAAGTCCCAGCGTGCCCCGCGCGCAGCGGGCGGAATGTCGGGCACTTCCGCCCCACGCAGCGCTTCTGCCGCCGCGTCTCGACGTGTCACCGGCGGCGGCGCC